TAGGACTGTTCTAGGAAGGAACCTGAATTAGACTGCTCTAGGAAGGAACCTGAATTAGACTGCTCTAGGAAGGAACCTGAATTAGACTGCTCTAGGAAGGAACCTGAATTAGACTGCTCTAGGAAGGAACCTGAATTAGACTCTTCTAGGAAGGAAACCTGAATTAGACTCTTCTAGGAAGGAACCTGAATTAGACGTCTAGGAAGGAACCTGAATTAGACTGCTCTAGGAAGGAACCTGAATTAGACTGCTCTAGGAAGGAACCTGAATTAGACTGCTCTAGGAAGGAACCTGAATTAGACTGCTCTAGGAAGGAACCTGAATTAGACTCTTCTAGGAAGGAACCTGAATTAGACTCTTCTAGGAAGGAACCTGAATTAGATCTCTAGGAAGGAACCTGAATTAGACTCTTCTAGGAAGGAACCTGAATTAGACTCTTCTAGGAAGGAACCTGATTAGACTCTTCTAGGAAGGAACCTGAATTAGACTGTTCTAGGAAGGAACCTGAATTAGACTGCTCTCTAGGAAGGAACCTGAATTAGACTGCTCTAGGAATGAACTGAATTAGACTAGCTCTAGGAAGGAAACTAATTAGACTGCTCTAGGAAGGGACCTGATTAGACTGCTCTAGGAAGGAACCTGAATTAGACTGCTCTAGGAGAAGGAACCTGAATTAGACTGCTCTAGGAAGGACCTGAATTAGACTGCTCTAGGAAGGAACCTGAATTAGACTGCTCTAGGAAGGAACCTGAATTAGACTGCTCTAGGAAGGAAACTGAATTACTGTTCTAGGAAGGAACCTGAATTAGACTGTTCTAGGAAGGAACCTGAATTAGACTGTTCTAGGAAGGAACCTGAATTAGACTGCTCTAGGAAGGAACCTGAATTAGACTGCTCTAGGAAGGAACCTGAATTAGACTGCTCTAGGAAGGAACCTGAATTAGACTGCTCTAGGAAGGAACCTGAATTAGACTCTTCTAGGAAGGAACCTGAATTAGACTCTTCTAGGAAGGAACCTGAATTAGACTGCTCTAGGAAGGAACCTGAATTAGACTGCTCTAGGAAGGAACCTGAATTAGACTGCTCTAGGAAGGAACCTGAATTAGACTGCTCTAGGAAGGAACCTGAATTAGACTGCTCTAGGAAGGAACTGAATTAGACTCTTCTAGGAAGGAACCTGAATTAGACTCTTCTAGGAAGGAACCTGAATTAGACTACTTCTAGGAAGGAACCTGAATTAGATCTTCTAGGAAGGAACCTGAATTAGACTGTTCTAGGAAGGAACCTGAATTAGACTGTTCTAGGAAGGAACCTGAATTAGACTGTTCTAGGAAGGAACCTGAATTAGACTGCTCTAGGAAGGAACCTGAATTAGACTGCTCTAGGAAGGAAACTGAATTAGACTGCTCTAGGAAGGAAACTGAATTAGACTGCTCTAGGAAGGGACCTGAATTAGACTGCTCTAGGAAGGAACCTGAATTAGACTGCTCTAGGAAGGAACCTGAATTAGACTGCTCTAGGAAGGAACCTGAATTAGACTGCTCTAGGAAGGAACCTGAATTAGACTGCTCTAGGAAGGAACCTGAATTAGACTGCTCTAGGAAGGAACCTGAATTAGACTGCTCTAGGAAGGAACCTGAATTAGACTGCTCTAGGAAGGAACCTGAATTAGGACTGCTCTAGGAAGGAACCTGAATTAGACTGCTCTAGGAAGGAACCTGAATTAGACTGCTCTAGGAAGGAACCTGAATTAGACTGCTCTAGGAAGGAACCCTGAATTAGACTGCTCTAGGAAGGAACCTGAATTAGACTGCTCTAGGAAGGAACCTGAATTAGACTGTTCTAGGAAGGAACCTGAATTAGACTGCTCTAGGAAGGAAACTGAATTAGACTGCTCTAGGAAGGAACCTGAATTAGACTGTTCTAGGAAGGAACCTGAATTAGACTGCTCTAGGAAGGAAACTGAATTAGACTGCTCTAGGAAGGAACCTGAATTAGACTCTTCTAGGAAGGAACCTGAATTAGACTCTTCTAGGAAGGAACCTGAATTAGACTCTTCTAGGAAGGAACCTGAATTAGACTGCTCTAGGAAGGAACCTGAATTAGACTTGCTCTAGGAAGGAACCTGAATTAGACTGCTCTAGGAAGGAACCTGAATTAGACTGCTCTAGGAAGGAACCTGAATTAGACTGCTCTAGGAAGGAACCTGAATTAGACTGCTCTAGGAAGGAACCTGAATTAGACTCTTCTAGGAAGGAACCTGAATTAGACTCTTCTAGGAAGGAACCTGAATTAGACTCTTCTAGGAAGGAACCTGAATTAGACTCTTCTAGGAAGGAACCTGAATTAGACTCTTCTAGGAAGGAACCTGAATTAGACTGCTCTAGGAAGGAACCTGAATTAGACTGCTCTAGGAAGGAACCTGAATTAGACTCTTCTAGGAAGGAACCTGAATTAGACTCTTCTAGGAAGGAACCTGAATTAGACTGTTCTAGGAAGGAACCTGAATTAGACTCTTCTAGGAAGGGACCTGAATTAGACTCTTCTAGGAAGGAACCTGAATTAGACTCTTCTAGGAAGGAACCTGAATTAGACTCTTCTAGGAAGGAACCTGAATTAGACTCTTCTAGGAAGGAACCTGAATTAGACTCTTCTAGGAAGGAACCTGCATTAGACTCTTCTAGGAAGGAACCTGCATTAGACTGCTCTAGGAAGGAAACTGAATTAGACTGCTCTAGGAAGGAACCTGAATTAGACTGCTCTAGGAAGGAACCTGAATTAGACTGCTCTAGGAAGGAACCTGAATTAGACTCTTCTAGGAAGGAACCTGAATTAGACTCTTCTAGGAAGGAACCTGAATTAGACTGCTCTAGGAAGGAACCTGAATTAGACTCTTCTAGGAAGGAACCTGAATTAGACTGCTCTAGGAAGGAACCTGAATTAGACTGTTCTAGGAAGGAACCTGAATTAGACTGCTCTAGGAAGGAACCTGAATTAGACTCTTCTAGGAAGGAACCTGAATTAGACTCTTCTAGGAAGGAACCTGAATTAGACTCTTCTAGGAAGGAACCTGAATTAGACTCTTCTAGGAAGGAACCTGAATTAGACTCTTCTAGGAAGGAACCTGAATTAGACTGTTCTAGGAAGGAACCTGAATTAGACTGTTCTAGGAAGGAAACTGAATTAGACTGCTCTAGGAAGGAACCTGAATTAGACTGTTCTAGGAAGGAACCTGAATTAGACTGCTCTAGGAAGGAACCTGAATTAGACTGCTCTAGGAAGGAACCTGAATTAGACTGTTCTAGGAAGGAACCTGAATTGGACTGCTCTAGGAAGGAACCTGAATTGGACTGCTCTAGGAAGGAACCTGAATTGGACTGTTCTAGGAAGGAACCTGAATTGGACTGCTCTAGGAAGGAACCTGAATTGGACTGCTCTAGGAAGGAACCTGAATTGGACTGTTCTAGGAAGGAACCTGAATTAGACTGCTCTAGGAAGGAACCTGAATTAGACTGCTCTAGGAAGGAACCTGAATTAGACTGCTCTAGGAAGGAACCTGAATTAGACTGCTCTAGGAAGGAAACTCATGCTACAACATCTCTACATAAGAAAGTTCCCAAACCCTTTGGAGACGTTGGTGTGATTGATATACGGAGGGACCTATCTCCTGACAGAAGAGACTCATTGTTCCGCCCCTCACTCTTCATAACATTTGGTGAAGATAGAGATAAACACGTGTGGAATTGGATCAATAGATGTAAGTGACCATGCTCAAGTATGCACACAATATTGAAATAAAACGTATATTGTTTTGTATCGGAAAAAATAAAAAAATAAGAGTAGCGTGTATACAACGTGATAGCAGCCAGGTCACTGTCTCAGAGACGGAGCCAGCGACTATCATCCATATACTTTACACATCAGTGATATGATTGATCACCTGCAGGGGGGGGAACACGCCCTCCCCCCCGTCCTCCAGCTGGTAGAACATCGCTGCGTCCAGATCGGATGGCTCCTCCCCCTCAGCGGAGAAACTAAACTGGCACTCTTTATTCAGAGCGGCTGCCAACTGCCGTCTGCTGCGCCTGCACACAGAGAGGACTCTTTAAAGTAGAGACACTACATACTGATATACACCTGAACATCAGCAGGAGAGGACTCTTTAAAGTAGAGACACTACATACTGATATACACCTGAACATCAGCAGGAGAGGACTCTTTAAAAGTAGAGACACTACATACTGATATACACCTGAACATCAGCAGGAGAGGACTCTTTAAAGTAGAGACACTACATACTGATATACACCTGAACATCAGCAGGAGAGGACTCTTTAAAGTAGAGACACTACATACTGATATACACCTGAACATCAGCAGGAGAGGACTCTTTAAGTAGAGACACTACATACTGATATACACCTGAACATCAGCAGGAGAGGACTCTTTAAAGTAGAGACACTACATACTGATATACACCTGAACATCAGCAGGAGAGGACTCTTTAAAGTAGAGACACTACATACTGATATACACCTGAACATCAGCAGGAGAGGACTCTTTAAAGTAGAGACACTACATACTGATATACACCTGAACATCAGCAGGAGAGGACTCTTTAAAGTAGAGACACTACATACTGATATACACCTGAACATCAGCAGGAGAGGACTCTTTAAAGTAGAGACACTACATACTGATATACACCTGAACATCAGCAGGAGAGGACTCTTTAAAGTAGAGACACTACATACTGATATACACCTGAACTCAACAGGAGAGGACTCTTTAAAGTAGAGACACTACATACTGATATACACTCTGAACATCATCAGGAGAGGACTCTTTAAAGTAGAGACACTACATACTGATATACACCTGAACATCATCAGGAGAGGACTCTTTAAAGTAGAGACACTACATTACTGATATTTACACCTGAACATCAGCAGGAGAGTACTCTTTAAAGTAGAGGACCACTACATACTGATATTACACCTGAACATCAGCAGGAGAGGACTCTTTAAAGTAGAGACACTACATACTGATATACACCTGAACATCAGCAGGAGAGGACTCTTTAAAGTAGAGACACTACATACTGATATACACCTGAACATCAGCAGGAGAGGACTCTTTAAAGTAGAGACACTACATACTGATATACACCTGAACATCAGCAGGAGAGGACTCTTTAAAGTAGAGACACAGACACGTGGCGTTTGCTTACCGGGACCTGAAGGCGTAGTTCTCGTAGTCCTGGTAATAGCGTCGGCCCGGGTGGTGGTAATAGGTCAGGTGTGGACCAATCAGGTGACGGTTCAGAAAACGGGTGGAGCTTCTGACCAGAACACACACACACACACACACACACAAACACAAACACACACTCACTCTTAGAAGGTGCTCTGCTGTGATTGGTTCTCAGTCTCAGGTAATGTCTCACCTGGAGGCTCCGTAGCGAGGCGGTCTGGCGGGGGGGTGGTGATGGGTGGGGGGGGCGTAGGGGTCATAGGTCATGGCCCCTGCTGAGAGGGGGGGGGGGGGGCGGGGGTGAACTGTGGGCTGGAACCGGGGGGGGCAGGCTGGAGGGGGCGGGGCCTCCGTATGAGGGGGGGGGCATCAGAAGCTCCGCCCCCTTTATCCCGCCGCGGGACTTCCTGAAGTAGCGGTGGCGGGGGGGGGTGGCGCCGGTCCGGGTCTACATGGGGAGGACAGGTGAGGAGACAGGTGAGAGGACAGGAGGACAGGTGAGGACAGGTGAGGAGACAGGTGAGGAGCATGAGGACAGGTGAAGACAGGAAGTGGATCTTACCCATGTCTCCCTTCCTGGACGGCGCCGCCACGTTCCAGGCAGGAACCGGGTTCACTGGCTTCAGGTCGGTCAGCTGGACCAGGTGTCTGTGGGGGTAAAGGACACCTGCTTTTTAGTCTGAGGCATCAGACCTGGAGAACTAAAGGACTCTCTCAGTGTTATCTCAGTGGGTCAGACTCAGTGAACTAAAGGACTCTCTCAGTGTTATCTCAGTGGGTCAGACTCAGTGAACTAAAGGACTCTCTCAGTGTTATCTCAGTGGGTCAGACTCAGTGAACTAAAGGACTCTCAGTGTTATCTCAGTGAGTCAGACTCAGTGAGCTAAAGGACTCTCTCAGTGAGTCAGACTCAGTGAGCTAAAGGACTCTCTCAGTGTTATCTCAGTGGGTCAGACTCAGTGAACTAAAGGACTCTCAGTGTTATCTCAGTGAGTCAGACTCAGTGAGCTAAAGGACTCTCTCAGTGAGTCAGACTCAGTGAGCTAAAGGACTCTCTCAGTGTTATCTCAGTGAGTCAGACTCAGTGAGCTAAAGGACTCTCTCAGTGTTATCTCAGTGGGTCAGACTCAGTGAACTAAAGGACTCTCTCAGTGTTATCTCAGTGAGTCAGACTCAGTGAACTAAAGGACTCTCTCAGTGAGTCAGACTCAGTGAGCTAAAGGACTCTCTCAGTGTTATCTCAGTGGATCAGACTCAGTGAGCTAAAGGACTCTCTCAGTGAGTCAGACTCAGTGAGCTAAAGGACTCTCTCAGTGTTATCTCAGTGAGTCAGACTCAGTGAACTAAAGGACTCTCTCAGTGTTATCTCAGTGGGTCAGACTCAGTGAACTAAAGGACTCTCTCAGTGTTATCTCAGTGGGTCAGACTCAGTGAACTAAAGGACTCTCTCAGTGTTATCTCAGTGAGTCAGACTCAGTGAACTAAAGGACTCTCTCAGTGTTATCTCAGTGAGTCAGACTCAGTGAGCTAAAGGACTCTCTCAGTGTTATCTCAGTGGGTCTCAAACGTTTTGCTCACCATTAATGTAAACAATTATTTCCGAGGCACACGTTTATATGATCATTATAGTTATAAAAAAATAAGAGAATAAATGAAAAACAGGTCTGAAATACTATCTGACATTAAAACAAGAATACAGTTTAAAAGCTGATTTGTAAAATATCCATAAAGAAAAAGTGAATCTGTTTCCAGTTGTGTTTCATATTGAGAGAGGTATCCATGTTGCTCTCAAAGTGCACCAGATTGATGCTTTTAACTTCAATATTTAAAAATAAATCTTCCCGGGGGAGCTTGCCCCCGGACCCCCCCAGAGGAGGTGAGGACCCCCCTAGAGGAGGTTAGGACCCGACTATGTGAGGTCCACTGAGACACATGTAACATTTGTGATATTGGGCTATATAAATAAACATTGATTGATTGATTGACCAGGTGGTCTCAGGTCAGCTGGTCTCAGGTCAGCTGGTCTCAGGTCAGCTGGTCTGAGGTCAGCTGGTGTCAGGTCAGCTGGTCTGAGGTCAGCTGGTCTGAGGTCAGCTGGTCTGAGGTCAGCTGGTCTGAGGTCAGCTGGTCTCAGGTCAGGTGGTCTCAGGTCAGGTGGTCTCAGCTGGTCTCAGGTCAGCTGGTCTCAGGTCAGCTGGTCTCAGGTCAGCTGGTCTCAGGTCAGCTGGTCTCAGGTGGTCTGAGGTCAGCTGGTCTGAGGTCAAGTGGTCTCAGGTCAGCTGGTCTCAGGTCAGCTGGTCTCAGCTGGTCTGAGGTCAGCTGGTCTGAGTTCAAGTGGTCTCAGGTCAGGTGGTCTCAGCTGGTCTCAGGTCAGCTGGTCTGAGGTCAGCTGGTCTGAGGTCAGCTGGTCAAGTGGTCTCAGGTCAGGACACTCTTAGCTAACCTTAAACAGCTGATATTAGCTATCTAAACATCTGACCGGTAAAGTGGTCTCTGGTTGTCTTTCTAAATGTCCGCTCTGTGGACCCTCCCCTTGTGGCAGGAGGTGTGAAAAGGGGCGGGGCTGCGTGAGGTGAATAAAGGTGTTTACTTCTCTCCCAGCTCCTCGATGAACACAGTGACCGCTGCCGCGTGCGTCCCCACCTCCTGGATGAAGGCGTTGTAGAATTTCCCCTTCGGCTCCAGACGCACCTGAAACCCACACAGCGCTGCGTTCAGGCGCTGCTCTGACTGTCAGTCATCTGAGTGCTCACCAGCTGTAGTGATGTGGCTCAGTTTTACCTGACACTTGTCTCCCAGGAAGTACTGCCTCCCAGCAAACACCATGTAGTCCGTCTTCTGCATCTCTGAGGACACAGAACGAGTCTTCCAGTAATCTGTTCTGGACGCAGAGACCCCTTCTCTAACGCAGAGACCCCTTCTCTAACGCAGAGACCCCTTCACTAACGCAGAGACCCCTTCTCTAACGCAGAGACCCCTTCTCTAACGCAGAGACCCCTTCACTAACGCAGAGACCCCTTCACTAACGCAGAGACCCCTTCTCTAACGCAGAGACCCCTTCTCTAACGCAGAGACCCCTTCACTAACGCAGAGACCCCTTCACTAACGCAGAGACCCCTTCACTAACGCAGAGACCCCTTCACTCCCCTTCACTAACGCAGAGACCCCTTCACTAACGCAGAGACCCCTTCACTAACGCAGAGACCCCTTCACTAACGCAGAGACCCCTTCACTCCCCTTCACTAACGCAGAGACCCCTTCACTAACGCAGAGACCCCTTCTCTAACGCAGAGACCCCTTCTCTAACGCAGAGACCCCTTCACTAACGCAGAGGACCCCCTTCACTAACGCAGAAGACCCCTTCACTAACGCAAGAGACCCCTTCACTAACGGCAGAGACCCCTTCCACTAACGCAAGAGACCCCTTCTCTAACGCAGAGACCCCTTCACTAACGCAGAAGAGACCCCTTTCACTAACGCAGAGACCCCTTCTCTAACGCAGAGAGACCCCTTCTCTAACGCAGAGGACCCCTTCACTTACAGTCCCCTTAGGTCTTGATTGACCAGCTCTGATAAGGTGTTACCTTTGCAGGTGTCCTGCCACACGTTCAAACTCCAGGTTCCTGTACACCTCTCCATCCAGAGACTTCATCACCTTATAAGGAAGAGACAGCCTGGAGGGGGGCGGGGCTTCTGCAGGAGGCTGACCAATCACAAGCACTCAGGATCATTGTGATATAATAAAATGTAATGAAACATATCATGATATATAGTGTGTGTGTGTGTGTGTGTACCTTTGTGTCCCTCGGGCACGGCTCGTTCTCCTCCACAGCTCCACCCCGGGTCAGACCTCCTCCCTGAGGACAAAACAAACGCACCTGAGCCCAGCATGAGGTCATGGTACAGGTGAGGTGCTCTGAACAGGAAGGGTCAGTACATGCACTTGTGTGTGTGTGTACCTGCGGTCCTCAGGTGTGTCGTAGCCGAAGTCAGCGTCGCTGCATACCGACGGGCTGTTTCTATAGCGACGACCTCCGACCCTGAAGGCCTCCATCGCCTGACAGAGCTCCGCCTCCTCGAAGCTGAACACCTGAGTGTAGAGCACCTCGTAGAACAGAGCTACACACACACAGCAGAGACACACACACACACACCAGAGACACACAGCAGAGACACACACACACAGCAGAGACACACAGCAGAGACACACACACACACAGCAGAGACACACACACACAGCAGAGACACACACACCACAGCAGAGACACACACACAGCAGCAGACACACACAGCCAACACAGCAGGAGACACACACCACACAGCAGAGACACACCAGAGACACACACAGCAGAGACACACACACACACACACAGCAGAGAAACACACACAGCAGAGACACACAGCAGAGACACACACACACAGCAGAGAACACACACACACAGCAGAGACACACACACACACAGCAGAGACACACACACACAGCAGAGACACACAGCAGAGACACACACACAGCAGAGACACACACACACAGCAGAGACACACAGCAGAGACACACACACACACAGCAGAGACACACACAGCAGAGACACACACACACAGCAGAGACACACAGCAGAGACACACACACACACAGCAGAGACACACACACACAGCAGAGACACACAGCAGAGACACACACACACACAGCAGAGGACACACACCGCAGGACACACGCAGGACACCACAGCAGAGACACCACACAGCAGAGACACACACACACAGCAGAGACACACACACACACAGCAGAGACACACACACACACAGCAGAGACACACAGCAGCAGAGACACACAGCAGAGACACACACACAGCAGAGACACACACACACACAGCAGAGACACACACACACACAGCAGAGACACACACACACAGCAGAGACACACCACAGCAGAGACACACAGCAGAGACACACACCACACAGCAGAGACACACACAGCAGAGACAACACAGCAGAGACAACCACACACACACAGCAGAGACATACACACAGCAGAGACACACACCACAGCAGAGACACACACACACACACACAGCAGAGACATACACACAGCAGAGACACACACACACAGCAGAGACACACACACACAGCAGAGACACACAGCAGAGACACACACACACAGCAGAGACATACACACACAGCAGAGACACACAGCAGAGACATACACACACAGCAGAGACACACACACACAGCAGAGACACACAGCAGAGACACACACACACAGCAGAGACACACACACAGCAGAGACACACACACAGCAGCGAGACATACACACAGCAGAGACCACCACACAACACACAGCAGAGACACACACACACAGCAGAGACACACACACACAGCAGAGACACACACACACAGCAGAGACACACATACACACAGCAGAGACACACCACACACACACACACACACACAGCAGAGACACACAGCAGAGACACACACACACAGCAGAGACACACACAGCAGAGACAGACACACAGCAGAGACACACACACACAGCAGAGACACACAGCAGAGACACACACACACACACAGCAGAGACATACACACAGCAGACACACACACACACACAGCAGAGACATACACACAGCAGAGACACACACACACACACAGCAGAGACACACAGCAGAGACACACACACACACACACAGCAGAGACATACACACAGCAGACACACACACACACAGCAGAGACACACACACAGCAGAGACACACACACACACACACAGCAGAGACATACACACAGCAGACACACACACACACACACAGCAGAGACATACAGCAGACAAACACACACACCTTAGACTTGCTCCACCAATCAGAGCGCAGTACTCGCACTGCTCCACCAATCAGAGCGCAGTACTCGCACTGCTCCACCAATCAGAGCTCAGTACTCGCACTGCTCCACCAATCAGAGCTCAGTACTCGCACTGCTCCACCAATCAGAGCGCAGTACTCGCACTGCTCCACCAATCAGAGCGCAGTACTCGCACTGCTCCACCAATCAGAGCTCAGTACTCGCACTGCTCCACCAATCAGAGCGCAGTACTCGCACTGCTCCACCAATCAGAGCTCAGTACTCGCACTGCTCCACCAATCAGAGCGCAGTACTCACACTGACAGAGGGCTGCGGAGGCGGGGTAACTCCTCGGGTAAACGATGTCATAGTGACCATTGATGGAGCAGCACAGCGTCACCTAGGAAACACAGCTGACATCAGTCTTAACGAATCAAATTGCAGAGTTTACAGTCATGTGACCTGCTGTTGGTAGTTTAATGATCACATGTTTCACTTCTTACCTTGTCCTCAAATTCTTCTTCTGAGATCACTGTGGCTGGTTTCCCTGGGTAACGATAGATCAGGAAACAGTGCCTACACACACAGACACACACACCACAGACACACACACACCACAGACACACACACACCACAGACACAACACACAGACAGACACACACCACAGACAGACACACCACAGACACACACACACACCACAGACACACACACACCACAGACACACACACACCACAGACACACACCACAGACACACACACACCACAGACACACACACCACAGACAGACACACACACCACAGACAGACAGACACACACACACCACAGACAGACACACCACAGACAGACACCATACACAGACAGACAGACACACACCACAGACAGACACCACAGACAGACACACACCACAGACACAGACACCACAGACACACACACACACACCACAGACAGACACAGACACCACACACAGACACACACCACAGACAGACACCACAGACAGACACACCACAGACACACACCATACACAGACAGACAGACACACACACACCACAGACAGACACACCACAGACAGACAGACACACACCACAGACAGACACACACCACACAGACAGACATACACAGACCGACACACCACACACAGACACACACCACAGACACACCACACAGACAGACAGACACACACCACAGACAGACACACACCACACAGACAGACATACACAGACCGACACACACCACACACAGACACACCACAGACAGACACACACCACAGACAGACACACACCACAGACAGACACACACCACAGACAGACACACACCACAGACAGACACACACCACAGACATACAGACACACACACCACAGACAGACACACCACAGACACACACCACAGACAGACACACACCACAGACAGACACACACCACAGACAGACACACCACAGACACACACCATACACAGACAGACACACACACACCACAGACAGACAGACACACACCACAGACAGACACACACCACACAGACAGACATACACAGACCGACACACCACACACAGACACACACCACAGACAGACACAGACCGACACACCACACACAGACACACACCACAGACAGACCGACACACCACACACAGACACACACCACAGACAGACACACCACAGACACACACCATACACAGACAGACAGACACACACACACACCACAGACAGACACACACCACAGACAGACATACACAGACAGACAGACACACACACACCACAGACACACACACACCACAGACAGACACACACCACACAGACAGACATACACAGACCGACACACCACACACAGACACACACCACAGACAGACATACACAGACCGACACACCACACACAGACACACACCACAGACAGACAGACACACCACAGACACACACCATACACAGACAGACAGACACACACCACAGACAGACACACACCACAGACAGACACACACCACAGACAGACACACACCACACAGACAGACATACACAGACCGACACACCACACACACCACAGACAGACAGACAGACAGACAGACACACACCACAGACAGACACACACCACACAAACAGACATACACAGACAGACACACACCACAGACAGACACAGACAGACACACCACAGACACACACCATACACAGACAGACAGACACACACACCACAGACACACACCATACACAGACAGACAGACACACACCACAGACACACACCATACACAGACAGACAGACACACACCACAGACAGACACACACCACAGACAGACAGACACACACCACAGACAGACACACACCACACAGACAGACATACACAGACCGACACACCACACACAGACACACACCACAGACAGACAGACACACACCACAGACAGACAGACACACACCACAGACAGACAGACAGACACACACCACAGACAGACAGACACACACACCACAGACAGACAGACAGACAGACACACACCACAGACAGACAGACAGACACACACCACAGACAGACACACACCACAGACAGACACACACCACAGACAGACACACACCACACAGACAGACATACACAGACCGACACACCACACACAGACACACACCATAGACAGACAGACACACACCACAGACAGACAGACACACACCACAGACAGACAGACACACACCACAGACAGACAGACACACACCACAGACAGACACCACAGACAGACACCACAGACAGACACCACAGACATACAGACACACACACACCACAGACAGACACACACCACAGACAGACACACCACAGACAGACACACCACAGACAGACACACACCACAGACAGACAGACACACACCACAGACAGACACACACCACAGACAGACACACACCACACAGACAGACATACACCACAGACAGACAGACACACACACACGACAGACAGACACCACAGACAGACAGACACCACAGACAGACACACACCACAGACAGACACCATACACAGACCGACACACCACACACAGACCGACAGACACACAGACCGACAGACACACAGACCGACAGACACACACACCGACACCACACACAGACAGACACACCCACACACCACAGACAGACACACACCACAGACACACACCACAGACAGACACACCACAGACAGACACACACACACCATACACAGACCGACACACCACACACCACAGACAGACACACACCATACACAGACCGACACACCACACACAGACACACACCATACACAGACCGACACACCACACACAGACAGACACACACCATACACAGACCGACACACCACACACAGACAGACAGACACACCACACACAGACACACACCATACACAGACCGACACACACCACAGACACACACACTTTAATTCACAAACAGATGGAGGTTGGAGCAGATGAACTGGAGAATTACTTACCTGTAGAGCTGAGACAGAGCCTTGATCTCCACCTGACCCACCGTCTCCTGAAAACACACCTGCCGTCACACACCTGCTGACACACACCATCAGCTACACGCTCACACACACACCTGCTCACACACCATCAGCTACACACACCTGCTGTCACACACACACCTGCTCACACACCATCAGCTATACACACCATCAGCTACACACACCATCAGCTACACACACACCTGCTCACACACCATCAGCTATACACACCATCAGCTACACACACACACCTGCTCACACACCATCAGCTACACACACCATCAGCTACACACACACCTGCTGTCACACACACCATCAGCTACACACACACACACACCTGCTCACACACCATCAGCTACACACACACCTGCTGTCACACACACACCTGCTCACACACCATCAGCTACACACACACACACACCTGCTCACACACCTGCTCACACACCATCAGCTACACACACACACCTGCTCACACACCATCAGCTACACACACACCATCAGCTACACACACACCTGCTGTCACACACACACACACTTGCTCACACACCATCAGCTACACACACACACCTGCTCACACACCATCAGCTACACACACACCTGCTGTCACACACACACCTGCTCACACACCATCAGCTACACACACACACACACCTGCTCACACACCATCAGCTACACACACACCATCAGCTACACACACCTGCTGTCACACACACACACACACCTGCTCACACACCTGCTGTCACACACACACCTGCTCACACACCATCAGCTACACACACCTGCTGTCACACACACACCTGCTCACACACCATCAGCTACACACACCTGCCGTCACACACCATCAGCTACACACACCTGCCATCACACACCATCAGTTACACACACCTGCCGTCACACACCATCAGTTACACACACCTGCCGTCACACACCATCAGTTACACACACCTGCCGTCACACACCATCAGCTACACACACCTGCCGTCACACACCTGCTGTCACACCATCAGCTACACACACACCTGCTGTCACACCATCAGCTACACACACCTGCTGTCACACCATCAGCTACACACACCTGCTGTCACACCATCAGCTACACACACCTGCTGTCACACCATCAGCTACACACACCTGCTGTCACACACCTGCTGTCACACCATCAGCTACACACCATCAGCTACACACCATCAGCTACACACACCTGCTGTCACACACCATCAGCTACACACACACCTGCTGTCACACCATCAGCTACACACACCTGCTGTCACACACCATCAGCTACACACACCTGCTGTCACACACCATCAGCTACACACACACCATCAGCTACACACACCTGCTGTCACACCATCAGCTACACACACCTGCTGTCACACACCATCAGCTACACACACACACACCTGCTCACACACCATCAGCTACACACACACCTGCTGTCACACACCATCAGCTACACACACACCATCAGCTACACACACACCTGCTGTCACACCATCAGCTACACACACCTGCTGTCACACCATCAGCTACACACACCTGCTGTCACACACCATCAGCTACACACACACCATCAGCTACACACACCTGCTGTCACACACCATCAGCTACACACACCTGCTGTCACACACACACGCTGTCACACACCATCAGCTACACACACACCATCAGCTACACACACCATCAGCTACACACACACCATCAGCTACACACACCTGCTGTCACACCATCAGCTACACACACCTGCTGTCACACACCATCAGCTACACACACCTGCTGTCACACACCATCAGCTACACACACACCATCAGCTACACACACCATCAGCTACACACACCATCAGCTACACACACACCATCAGCTACACACACCTGCTGTCACACACCATCAGCTACACACACCTGCCGTCACACACCATCAGCTACACACACCTGCTGTCACACCATCAGCTACACACACAGGGTCAAAGGTCACAGCAGCTCACCTTCGGGTCCTCCAGACGCTGCAGATATTTCTCAAACGAACCTTCAACAAACTGGAAGAGAAAACACATGCGTTAGTTAGCTTAGCACGTTAGCATTTTATTTCTCTGCCCAGTTACTCACTGGTTCAAAGTTGCATCTGTTGGTTCTCATGTAGTCGGCACATTCCTGACGGATCCTGTGATGGTAGTTCTGAGAGTAATACAGCTACACACACACACACACACACACACACACGTTAGCGTGTAGCTTGAAATCCTCGTGCTCCTGAAAACACAACCATCTAGTTAATTGCATAGCCATTACACTTCAGTGAGTCAAATTAATCTTTATAAAATCATAAAGTTCACTTTTGTTTCTCCAATTTTATTTCCAATCCTAAATAATGAGTTTCAAAGTCAAACCAAAAGAGGCAGATGATATTTTCATTATATTTTGTTTTACAGAAAAAATCTTCATTTAAAAAGTGAATTCATGACAGCTGCTAGCTTAAGCCCGGTTTGCTTTAGCATAGCTATCTTAAGCCCGGTTTGCTTTAGCATAGCTAGTTTAAGCCCGGTTTGCTTTAGCATAGCTAGCTTAAGCCCGGTTTGCTTTAGCATAGCTAGTTTAAGCCCGGTTTGCTTTAGCATAGCTAGCTTAAGCCCGGTTTGCTTTAGCATAGCTAGTTTAAGCCCGGTTTGCTTTAGCATAGCTAGCTTAAGCCCGGTTTGCTTTAGCATAGCTAGTTTAAGCCCGGTTTGCTTTAGCATAGCTAGCTTAAGCCCGGTTTGCTTTAGCATAGCTAGCTTTCGCCCGGTTTGCATTAGCATAGCTAGCTTTCGCCCGGTTTGCATTAGCATAGCTAGCTTTCGCCCGATTAGCTTTAGCATAGCTAGCTTTATTATAGTTAGCATTAACATGGTTAGCTTTGGCATGTTTTTTTTCGTTTTTTTAATTAGCCTTAGCATGGTTAGCCTTAGCGTGGTTAGCTTTATCATGGTTAGCTTTATCATGTTTTTTTTTTTTTTTTTTTTTTTTAAATTGGCTTTATCCCGTTTATCCTGGTTTCGCCCGCTCCTCACCCGCTCCTCACCTGCTCGGACACGGCTCGGAACAGGCTGGACGCGTCTCGCGCCACCATCTTCCGGTACAGACCCAGGCTGCACAGGTACTCGTCCATGTTGACGAAGTACTTCTTCAGACCTTTCTGCATCCCGGGGGCTCGACGGGACTCAGATAAACACCGGTACTACTCTCCGGTACTACTCTCCGGTCGTCTCTCCGGTCGTCTCTCTGGTCCTCTCCGGTCTTCACTCTGGTCCACTCTGGTCCACTCTGGTCCTCTCCGGTACTGTCCGGTTCCCTCTGTCCGGTACTAGAGGTTCTCTCTTCGGTAATCCACTGTCCTCTCTCGGAGCAGAGAGCGCGCGCCCAGGTGAATCTCATCAGCCTGATCAGCGCGTGGCCCCCTGAGGCGTTCAGGGACTCGGTTAGAAACACGCTGTTTGATAACTTAATGTGTCCCTTCAGTCTACAGGTCCCTTCAGTCTACAGGTGTCCCTTTAGTCTACAGGTGTTAATGTTCAAGGTTCAAGGTTCAAGGTTCTTTATTGTCAATCTGACATAGCTACAGAGTAATTATGCAGTTGAAAATCTTATGTCACAGGCTTCTCCAACAATGCAACATAATAACATAATAACAATAAGAGCATGAGCAATACAAAAATAATAATAGTTATAAAAATGAAATAAAGTTATGATGTGGAATAGTGCAGTATGAGTCTATATACAAGTTATTGGAATGATATATATATATTAGGTATTAGATACATACTACTGAGTAGCAGATGAATGTTTGATGTTGTTTCAACAGTTCCATTTTTTAACAGTCTCACTGCCCGCGGGAAGAAACTGTCTCCGAATCTTCTTGTCCTTGCCAGGATGCTGCGGTACCGTCTGCCAGGCGGCAACAGAAAGAACAGTTTGTGGCTGGGGTGATGGGGGTCTTTGATAATCCGTAGTGATTTCTTCCTGAGCCGCTGGGAGTAAAGGTCCTCCATGGATGGCAGCTCCGTCCTGGTGATGTGCTGTGCAGTTTCCACCACCCTCTGTAAAGCCTTACGATCGAGGTCGGTGCAGCTGCCGTACCAGGCCGTCATGCTGCCAGTCAGGATGCTCTCTATGGAGCACCTGTAGAAGGTCAGGATGCTCTCTATGGTGCACCTGTAGAAGGTCAGGATACTCTCTATGGTGCACCTGTAGAAGGTCAGGATACTCTCTATGGTGCACCTGTAGAAGGTCAGGATCCTCTCTATGGTGCACCTGTAGAAGGTCAGGATGCTCTCTATGGTGCACCTGTAGAAGGTCAGGATGCTCTCTATGGTGCACCTGTAGAAGGTCAGGATCCTCTCTATGGTGCACCTGTAGAAGGTCAGGATCCTCTCTATCGTGCACCTGTAGAAGTTGCAGAGTATCCTGGAATCCATTTTGAACCTCCTCAGCCTGCGGAGGAAGAAGAGCCGCTGTCGAGCTTTCTTGGTGATGGTGGTGGTGTGAAGAGACCATGTCAGGTCCTCAGTGAAGAGTCCATGTCAGGTCCTCAGTGATGAGTCCATGTCAGGTCCTCAGTGATGAGTCCATGTCAGGTCCTCAGTGATGAGTCCATGTCAGGTCCTCAGTGATGAGTCCATGTCAGGTCCTCAGTGATGAGTCCATGTCAGGTCCTCAGTGATGAGTCCATGTCAGGTCCTCAGTGATGAGTCCATGTCAGGTCCTCAGTGATGAGTCCATGTCAGGTCCTCAGTGATGAGTCCATGTCAGGTCCTCAGTGAAGAGTCCATGTCAGGTCCTCAGTGATGAGTCCATGTCAGGTCCTCAGTGAAGAGTCCATGTCAGGTCCTCAGTGATGAGTCCATGTCAGGTCCTCAGTGAAGAGTCCATGTCAGGTCCTCAGTGATGAGTCCATGTCAGGTCCTCAGTGATGTGGACCCAGAGGAACCTGAAGCTGCTGACTCTCTCCACCGTAGTCCCATTGATGGCGATGGGGGCGTGTCCCTCTCCCTGCTGCTTCCTGTAATCCACAATCAGCTCCTTTGTTTTGCTGATGTTGAGATGGAGGTTGTTCTCCTGGCACCAACATGTCAGGTTTTCGACCTCCTCTCTGTACGCCGTCTCGTCATCGTCTGTGATCTGGCCGATGACGGTCGTGTCATCAGCAAACTTCACGATGGTGTTGGAGCTGTGTGTGGCCACGCAGTCGTGGGTGAACAGGGAGTAGAGGAGAGGGCTGAGCACGCAGCCTTGAGGGGCACCGGTGTTTAGAATCAGGGTGGAGGATGTGATGTTTCCCACCCGCACTGCCTGGGGTCTGCCCGTCAGGAAGTTCAGGATCCAGTCACAGAGGGCGCTGTTGAGCCCGAGGTCTCTGAGCTTGATGGCCAGCTTGGAGGGCACAATGGTATTGAATGCTGAACTGTAGTCAATGAACAGCATTCTCACATATGTGTTCCTGTTCTTCGGGTCCAGGTGTGAGAGGGCAGTGTGGATGGTGAGGGCTATGGCGTCGTCTGTGGACCTGTTTGCTCTGTAGGCAAACTGCAGGGGGTCCAGAGATTCAGGGAGGGAGGAGGTGATGAATGATTTGACTAACCGCTCAAAGCACTTCATTATGATGGAGGTGAGTGCTACTGGGCGGTAGTCGTTGGGGCAGGTGATGATTGTCTTTTTGGGGACAGGAACGATGGTGGAGTGTTTAAAACGTGTCCCTTCAGTCTACAGGTCTTAACGTGTCCCTTCAGTCTACAGGTGTTAACGTGTCCCTTCAGTCTACAGGTGTTAACGTGTCCCTTCAGTCTACAGGTCTTAACGTGTCCCTTCAGTCTACAGGTGTTAACGTGTCCCTTCAGTCTACAGGTCTTAACGTGTCCCTTCAGTCTACAGGTGTTAACGTGTCCCTTCAGTCTACAGGTGTTAACGTGTCCCTTCAGTCTACAGGTGTTAACGTGTCCCTTCAGTCTACATGTGTTAACGTGTCCCTTCAGTCTACAGGTGTTAACGTGTCCCTTCAGTCTACATGTGTTAACGTGTCCCTTCAGTCTACAGGTGTTAACGTGTCCCTTCAGTCTACAGGTGTTAACGTGTCCCTTCAGTCTACAGGTGTTAACGTGTCCCTTCAGTCTACAGGTGTTAACGTGTCCCTTCAGTCTACAGGTGTTAACGTGTCCCTTCAGTCTACAGGTGTTAACGTGTCCCTTCAGTCTACAGGTCTTAACGTGTCCCTTCAGTCTACAGGTGTCCCTTCAGTCTACAGGTGTTAACGTGTCCCTTCAGTCTACAGGTGTCCCTTCAGTCTACAGGTGTTAACGTGTCCCTTCAGTCTACAGGTCTTAACGTGTCCCTTCAGTCTACAGGTGTCCCTTCAGTCTACAGGTCTTAACGTGTCCCTTCAGTCTACAGGTGTCCCTTCAGTCTACAGGTGTTAACGTGTCCCTTCAGTCTACAGGTCTTAACGTGTCCCTTCAGTCTACAGGTGTCCCTTCAGTCTACAGGTCTTAACGTGTCCCTTCAGTCTACAGGTGTCCCTTCAGTCTACAGGTGTTAACGTGTCCCTTCAGTCTACAGGTGTTAACGTGTCCCTTCAGTCTACAGGTGTTAACGTGTCCCTTCAGTCTACATGTGTTAACGTGTCCCTTCAGTCTACAGGTGTCCCTTAATAATAATAATAATAAATGGAATTTATAAAGCGCCTTTCAAAGGACCCAAGGTCGCTGTACATGGTGGACAGACAAAACAAAACAGACAATGAGGAGCGAACAAAACAAGAAAAATAAAATAATAAAATAAAGGAAGCCGGGGGACCAGGAGAGGACTAGGGTCCGAAGGCCACGGTGAACAGGAAAGGACTAGGGTCCGAAGGCCACGGTGAACAGGAAAGGACTAGGGTCCGAAGGCCACGGTGAACAGGAAAGGACTAGGGTCCGAAGGCCACGGTGAACAGGAGAGGACTAGGGTCCGAAGGCCACGGTGAACAGGAAAGGACTAGGGTCCGAAGGCCACGGTGAACAGGAAAGGACTAGGGTCCGAAGGCCACGGTGAACAGGAAAGGACTAGGGTCCGAAGGCCACGGTGAACAGGAAAGGACTAGGGTCCGAAGGCCACGGTGAACAGGAAAGGACTAGGGTCCGAAGGCCACGGTGAACAGGAAAGGACTAGGGTCCGAAGGCCACGGTGAACAGGTGTGTTTTTAGTGAGGATTTGAAGATGTCCAGTGAGGCAGCGTTCCTGATCTCAGGAGGAAGTGCATTCCAGAGGGTGGGGGCCACAACACTGAACGCCCTGTCACCCACAGTACGAAGGCGAGAGCGGGGGATGGAGAGCAGGCCCGTGTCTGAGGACCGCAGACTCCGAGAGGGGGTGTAGGGATGTAGGAGGTCTGTTAAGTACTGGGGGGCGAGGGCATGGAGGGACTTGTACGTGAGGAGGAGTGTTTTGTAGTGAATCCGGGACTTGACCGGCAGCCAGTGGAGGTGGATGAGGGTGGGGGTGATGTGTTGCCATGGCTTAGTGCGGGTGAGAAGCCTGGCGGCAGAGTTCTGGACGTATTGGAGTCTGGCCAGGGTTTAGCTGGGAACCCCGGACAGGACTCCATTGCAGTAGTCCAGACGGGATGTGATGAAGGCGTGTACGAGTGCTTCTGCCACAGAGTCAGAGAGGGGATGTTTCTGAGATGGTAGAAGGCGTGTACGAGTGCTTCTGCCACAGAGTCAGAGAGGGGATGTTTCTGAGATGGTAGAAGGCGTGTACGAGTGCTTCTGCCACAGAGTCAGAGAGGGGATGTTTCTGAGATGGTAGAAGGCGGATTTGGTCATGGATTTGATATGCGCCTGGAAAGAGAGGAGTCAGATGGTGCTGTTCACCAAGGCCCAGGAAACGGAGGACAAGATGCTCACCAGTTCATTTTATATTATTGTTATTACTGTTATTATATAGTCTTGATACAACTGACACTTTCTTTTATATTGATAATGTTAATTTACATGTACAACTTCTATTTTATTTACATTAAAAATGTGAACTTCTATTTACTGTTAAACAGATCCTGTATCTTGCTTATTTCTCCTGACACTTTATCTTTAGTGACCTGTGTAGCATCCTATACATCACATGGAAGTGATTATTCTGATACCATCATGTTTCATCGGTTATAAACTGGCAAAGCTTTGTCATTTATTTATCATCAATGTTGCAACCTTGTGGGGGAATGGCAGGGGCACATACACACATATGATCATTTATATCATTTTAAATATTATTTGACCTAAAACTAAATGTGTTTATGAT